GGCTTTTTTCTTTTTGCTTATGTGGTGCTGAGGAATCGAACCCAGGGCCTCAGGCATGCAAGGCAAGCGCTCTACCACTGAGCCACCTTCCCAGCCCCAGAGTCTTGTTATGTAGCTCCACCTGGCCTCCCAAAATCTTGGGATTATAAGTATTTGCTACAACACTTAGATTTTTGTCCCAAACTATCACTTTTGTTTTTTGCAGTGCTGGGATTGAACCTAGGGCCTTGCTTATACCAGGCACACACTATCACTGAGCTACATCCCTAGCCCTTATATAACATTTATTTACTCAGTTATTTGTGACAAGATCTAATTATGTATCCCAGTATGTCCTTGAGCTCCTAATCTCCCCATTTTCATTAAGTTTTGGGATTTCAAGCATGTGACACTGAATGCAGCTATTTTATTTTACTTTATTTTATTTTTTTTGGGGGGTCTGGTCTGAACTCTGAGCCTGGGCGCTGTCCCTCAGCTCTTCAGCTCAAGGCTAGTGCTCTACCACTTGAGCCACAGAGCCACTTCAGGCTTTTTTCTTTTTTGCTTATGTAGTGCATGCAAGGCAAGCACTCTACCACTGAGCCACCTTCCCAGCCCCAGAATCCTGAAATTTTAAATCGAGATATTGTTGTGCCCAAGTCGCAGGACCCCCCACCAAGAAGACCACCGAGAGTCAGACTTTACATCTGTTTTAAGGTTTTATTTAAATGGGCTGCAGCTTGGGCCTCATCCTACACTCTGACACAGCGGAGCCTAGGAGGAGAGCCCGAGCTAAAGATTTGCAGGGCTATAAAGGCACAAAATCAACCAGGTGTTTGGATTATCACCACGTGTTGCTCTGCTAGACAATTTGCTGATAGTTTAAACAAGCAGCAAGTGGTCACTGCCTCAAAACTTTAACCCTTCAATATAGTGTGTTGCGATCAAATGCAAAGATCTTAAGCTTACCGACTCTTGGCAAAATGAATGCATCCTTGTTTACCCCATCTAAAGGAAGATACAAAACACTATCCTAGAAAGTGATAGCTCCCCCCCCCCCTTTTTTTTCAGTCCTGGGGCTTGAACTCTGGGCCTGAGCACCGTCCCTCAGCTCTTCAGCTCAAGGCTAGCGCTCTACCACTTGAGCCACAGCGCCACTTCCGGTTTTCTGGTGGTTTATTGGACATAAGAGTCTCACAGACTTTCCAGCCCAGGCTGGCTTTGAACCTCAGATCTCAGCCTCCTGAGTAGCTTGGATTACAGGCGTGAGCCACTGGCGCCCGCCAGTACTGATGGTTTTAAGCAGTGTTATGTTCCTGCCTGGCAAGGATGCGAAGGACGCCTTGCAACCCACGTGGCACCATTCAAGCAAGCGCAGGTCGCTTAGGAACCAGGAAGCAATGAGCTGTCAGATCTACCGCCTGTAGAGGGAAGCCCCGCCTCTTAGTCGCCATACCCCGCCTCCTCCCCGCGCAGGAGCCAGTGGGCAGTCACGCCCCACTTCCGGGGTGGGAATAATGTTCTTATTGGTCCGCTGTCCGGAAGCGACGAGATTCGGAAGCTCGCGCACTGTGGTGGGACCCCCGCCGGGGCGTGCGGGTGTGCGGTGCGTGTCGCTGGCCGGCGGTGCGCGCGCGGGCTGGCGCGGCGTCGGAGCCCCAGTCGTCGCGGGGTGGAGGCTTCCTCCCGCCTCGGAAGCGGAGCCGGGCCCGCAGGGAGCGCTCAGCTCCCCCGCGCTGCGGGCCCGGGGCGGGCGGCGTGCCCGCGTGCTCGGGCCGCGCCGACGGCGTTCGGGGGCCCCGCGCCCCGGGCCCCGGCGCAGGGCCGCCTCCGGGCTCCCCACAGCCCCCGGCGCGGGCCGCCATGTTTGTCCTGGTGGAGATGGTGGACACGGTGCGGATACCTCCCTGGCAGTTTGAGAGGAAGCTCAACGACTCCATCGCCGAGGAATTGAACAAGAAGTTGGCCAACAAGGTACTGGGCCCGGGGGTGCATGGTGGGCCGGGGCCCAGCACGGCGAGGGCTCTCCTGACCGGGCAGGCCTCGAACCTCAGATCCCCGCCTCCTGAAGAGCCACGCGCGCCCGGCGCTTTCCATGCCAACTTTACCCAAGTTAGCCTCAAACAGGATCCTCCTGCCTCTGCCTCCCTGGTAGCGGGGGTTCAGGTGTGTCGCCCCACGCCCCCGGCAGGCTCCCCGTCCTGCTGAGGTCTCCTGCCCGGTCTCTGGTGCAGAGCCCCAGCTCATACCATCTAGAAAAGGGACTCAGAGTTTGCTTGTGGTTGTGAGGGCCTCGGGACAGGTGGCCTGGGCTCTCACCGTGTGTGCACGTGTGCACCCAGGTTGTGTACAACGTGGGTCTCTGCATCTGTTTATTCGATATCACCAAGCTGGAGGATGCCTATGTGTTCCCGGGGGATGGCGCATCACACACCAAAGGTGGGTACCTTTCTTTTCTTGGGGTGTTGCGTTCCTTAGAGCCCATTCCCGCCCCCTTTCTTTGTCCATCGTTTGGCTTAAACTCTGGGGCTGGACACTGCCCCTGAGCTCTTCATCTCTACCACTTTGAGCCACAGCTCCACCTCCAGTTTTCTAGTGGTTAATTGGAGTCTCACGGATTTTCCTGCCCAGGCTGGCTTTGAACTGCATCCCTCAGATCTCAGCCTTCTGAGTAGCAGCTAGAATGACTAGTGTGAGCCACCAGCTCCCAACCAGGCTCTGTTTGCTGTAGCTTCAGAAATGCCTGGGGTAGTGAGAGTCCTGGCCTGGGAACCCCAGTTCTGACGCTGCTGGGAATTGACTCCATGACTATGGGTAGACTTTTGCCTTCTCTATGCCTCAGTTTCCTCATGTGTAAGACATAGAAAGTGGACTTGGAGATGGTCAGGCCTCTCCAGGGCTGAGGCTGTGGCTCCATGTTTGAGCCCCTTTGCTTTCACCTGCTTGCCTGGTGGCAGTTGAGCCAGACTGCTGAAGACTCGGTGGAGTGGCCCGAGCTGGGTTAGAGAGCAGAGGGAGGAAGAGGAGCAGAGGGAGGACGAAGCACAGGCCTGTCAGGGATGAGGACCTTGATGGACAGAAGGATACCACAGTTAAAAGAGTGCCTCTCCCACTTTACTAGCTGTGTGCCCTGAATGGATAGGTAACCTCCCTCTGCCTGTTTGCTCCTAAGTACTGCTTGCAGGGCTGAAGGAGGAAATGCAGGTAAGGCTTCTAGGGCAGGGCCTTGGCGCCAGGCGAGTCTCGCTCATTGGTTTGGGCTGTCTGCGGGTTCTGTGGGTCCGTGGGATGGCTGGGCCAGGGCCTCAGGGCCTAGGATGGCCTTGTGTTCTGGTTGGCCCAGGGGCCTTTCAGTAGGCCATAATGGGCTCAGTGGTTTCAAGGGATCAAAACTCAGGGCATAAGCCCCTCTCTAGCCTTGTGTATCTCCTCCTTATTGGCCAGAGCAGGTCATGTGGCTGAGGGCAGGGTTAGGGAACAGAGGACAGGACTCCCACTGTTGGCCAGGAGGGTAGGAGTAGCCAGGCCTCCTCCCCAGGAGCCCATGGGGTGCTGCATAGACTGAGCTGTCAGAGGATATAGATGCCAGGCATCAGTGGCTCAGACCTGTAATCTCAGCTACTCAGGAGCCTGATACCTAGATAGAAGATGGTGATTCAAGGCCAGCCCTGGCAGAAAAGTCCACTAGACTGTTATCTTCAAAATAATCAGCGAAAAGTCAGGCTGGAGACATGGCTTATGTGGTAGAGCACCAGCCAAGCAAGCATAAAGCCCTGAATTCAAACCTCACTCAGTACTGGCCAAAACAACAATGAAAAACACCAAAAAACAAAAAGAAAAAAAAAGGTAAGAAGACCTCTAAGATGACCCAGGGCTTGTCATAGTGCAGGTACACAGGCTTTCGCTTGGACACTGGTTAGAAACAAGTCTTAGCCTATCCTGGGCATGCAGGATCAGCTTATGAAGAGGGAAGCAAATACTTTAACAGGCTCTAAGACACAAGCTTGCAGTTGAGGAGTGCAATGACAGTCCACTGGTCATTCTCTTGGTTCTGAGCATTCCAGAACATGCTGTGAGACAGCTTGGGGTGGTCTAGTCATCAGAGACTTAATTAGTTCATAAGCAGTAGTACCGGGACTTGAGGGGAAACAGAAGGAAGTGGAAGTGGACCGTGTGCCCGTGCAGTGGGTGGCTGCTGGCACTCGGCTCCTCCACATTTTCTGTTTCACGGAGGAGGATGAGGGGCCAGGCGCTGAGCACTGCATGGCAGTGCATCCTGTGCACCTAGATTTGAAGTCTAGCTCCAGACCCTTGGCGAGGGTCTCGGCTAGGCTCCGTGTCCTGGGTGAGTTGTTACTCTGTACGTGGAATCGGGGTGCTCTGCTGCTCCAAGACTGACCTGTGACTCCAGGTTCCTTTCCTACTATCTCATTTTGCTTGCTCAGCTGCCACTGTGCCACTTGAACCATGCCTCCAGCTCTGTTTTTTTTTGGGGGGGGGGTCTTGGTCGTGGGGCCTGAACTCTGGGCCTGGGCACTGTCCCTCAGCTCTTCAGGTCAAGGCTAGTGCTCTACCACTTGAGCCACAGCACCACTTCTAGCTTTTTTTCTTTTTGCTTATGTGGTGCTGAGGAATCGAACCCAGGGCCTCATGCATGCAAGGCAAGCGCTCTACCACTGAGCCACCTTCCCAGCCCTGTCTCTGAGCTCTTTTGCTTAAGGCTAATGCTCTACCACTCTGAGACACAGCACCACTTCTGGTTTTCTGGTGGTTAATTAGAGATAAGAGTCTCATGGACTTTCCTGCTTGGGCTGGCTTTGAACCTTGATCCTCAGATCTCAGCTTCCTGAGTAGCCAGGATTACAGGTGAGCCCAGCAATTTAACCATCGTGGATTTAACCATAGTGGATAATTCAGTGGCATGCAGCAGACACACATTGGCTGGTTACCAGTGCAGACTTATTCTGGGGAAACTTTCCCTCAAGAATAAATTCTCTTTTTTGAGGGGAGGAGAGAAAAGGGCTGGAGAATGGAACCCCAGGCCCCATGCGTGCTAGGCAAGTGCGCTACCACTGTGCTACATTCCTAGCCCTCTTCCTTTGCAAGGCTGACAGTCCATTGTGTGTACACCCCACATTTTAGCCACTCATCTGCCAGACACGAGGCCACCCCTACCTGCTCTCAGATACGGTGTTCAGACGGCTTCCTGCACGCTGGGTTATGTGCTCTCCCGCCTTTGTGAGCCTAGCGCCCAAGCCAGGCCTGGCACAAACCTGGCAGCGGCCCTGTGAGAATTTAGTAAACTGAGCTGAACGTTGGGTGGAGCGGGGCACCGGGTTTTTCCATCGCAAGGGCAGGGACCCCGCCTGCTGTGGCTGAGGGGGCAGCAGCAGGTGCCGCTATTTGAGGCCCGGGGAGGGGGGCTGGGCGGGGCTCTTGTCTCTCCTTCCTGTTGGTGCCCAGGCAGGCAGGTGGCACAGGCCAGAAGCATTGGTCCTGTTCTGTGGGAAGGGGGGGGGATCTGGTAGACATCTGGGTTTGGGGGAGAAGGCCATCTGAGGACGCAGGTTGTCCCGGTGGCCATGTTTAGGGAAGGACTTGGAGACTCCATGTGGCAGAGCAGAGCATGGCAGAGCAGCTGTGTGGCTGGAATGGTGGAAATGCCACATGTGGCACAGATGGGTGGTGACAAGAGGTTGACGAGCGGCAGCCACAGCTTCTCTTTGCTCTGGAGCTTTCGGTGAGGGGCAGGTGAACAGGTGGCTTGAGTGGCTTCGGTAGGGCTCCTGGTCGGCTGAGGAAAATACTTGCGTGGGTATTTTCCTGGGGTCAGGTGACAGGGACGCGCTAGGGCAGGGCCTGGGCCTGGGAACCGCACAGGATTTCTGCTGCTCGCTGCTCTTCCTCCTCCCCCATTTTTCACATCCAGTTTCAGGGCAGAGCTGTGCCCGGGGCAGGCTTTGCCAGACAGCAGGAGACAAGAACTTGTTTGAATTCTGGTTCCCTTTGTCTGGTGTGTCTGCCCTTTTAGAACTGAAAGGCTAGCCAGGGGTGGGTGACTCACGCCTGTAATCCTAGCTACTCGGGAGGCGGAGATCTGAGGATCATGGTTCCTAACCAACCTGGGCAGGCAAGTCCATGTGACTCTTACCTCCAATTAACCACCAAAAGACCAGAAGTGGAGATTTGGCTCAAATGGTAAGCCACCAGCCTTGAGCAAAAAAGCTTAGGGACAGCATCTACTCTGAGCTCAAGCCTCGGTCTTGCTGCCCCGAAAAAAAAAAATTAAAATAGAGGCTGGAGGAAAGTTGGAATTGACTTTGGTATCTGCAGTGGCCCACAGCCTGGCTCAGGGACTTCCCAGATGGATTGGGAGGCCAGCCCTCAGTTCTAGGGCAGCTGCTGCTGGTGCCTTCTGGGGACCAAGCTATGACCTTGCGGAGATGAGGGTCATGGGCTGGCAGTGGGAGGATGCCAGAGCGCCACACGGGTCCCCACATGCCTGCCTGCCCCTCCTCCGCAGTCCATTTCCGCTATGTGGTGTTCCACCCGTTCCTGGATGAGATTCTGATTGGGCAGATCAAGGGCTGCAGCCCAGAGGGCGTGCATGGTAAGTGACCCCTCAGGGGAGCCTCTGGCGCGGGGTCAGGCGGTCTTGCTGTCCACCAGGGAAGGCTGGGTCTCAAGAAGGTGGCCAGCTCCAGTCTGAGCGAGTGGCCCCCAGCCCCCTCCTGCCTTGGTGTATGCGGTGTCCATCAACCATCTGGGGCCCGTGTGCCCAGGGCTTTGCCCAGCACTGCTCACGCCTGGTGTATGGGGCTCTGAGAGGGGAAGGCGCTGTCTGGGTGGCACTGGAGGGGTTCTTGAGTGTCCAGATCCCTCCTTTGTCTGTCTGTCCCCTGCTGTCACCTTCTTCATTTCTCCCAGTCTCTCTAGGGTTCTTCGATGATATTCTCATCCCCCCAGAGTCGCTGCAGCAGCCCGCCAAGTTGTATCCTCCCAAGGAAAAGCGGGTCCCTGGCCTGCGCACTGGCTCCCTACCTCGGGCAGCGTGTGTGCTAGCCCTGGCCTGTGCCCGGCTTCAGGGCTGTGCTGCCATCCACTCCCCATTCACTTCGCTCAGGTTTCTCCATGGGAGTGGCTCAAGATCTCGTTCCCCAGGAGGCTAACCCTGGCTGGCTCACCCCCACTTCCTTGGGTGTAACCTGTGTTCCCCTCACAGAACATGCTCTCCAGCTCAGGTACCTGGACTGGACTGCCCCCAGCCCGGCCCTCACCTTGCCTACTGAGAGCCCTCACTGAAGGGACCTCATCCTGTCACAAGTGTCCTCCCAGGGCCCAGCAAGGGTCTGGCACAGAGGAGGCAGAGTCCAGTGGCAGCAATGCCACTAGAGGGCAGTGTGGATCCTTGGTGGGCTTCTGGCATAGGACATGGGGGAAGTCAGTGGGGCCCTACCTGGCTGAGCCGCCACTGGCCAGGCGTGGGGAGAGCAGGGTTGCATGTGAGTGGAATTTGGCAGGTCTGGCCCAGCCTGCTTGGTGGTGTGCGTGTGCGCGCGTGCAGGGTTGTATGTGAGTGGAATTTGGCAGGTCTGGCCCAGCCTGCTTGGTGGTGTGTGTGTGCATGTGCGTGTGTGCGCGTGCAGGGTTGTATGTGAGTGGAATTTGGCAGGTCTGGCCCAGCCAGCTTGGTTGTGTGTGTGTGTGTGCATGCGCGCGCGCGCATGCGCACGCATCCGTCCCGGCTCCCCTGTAATCTTTTGAGAACTGGACTTGTTGCTGTTTCTGGGATTTGAACTCAGGGCTTTGCACTCTGAGCAGGTGCTCTAACACTTAAGCCATGCCTTTAGCCCTGGGAAAGTCTTTGAGTTGCCTGCCTGCCAGATTTGTCAGGTTGGGGAAGGTGTGTGCACCTCAGTCGTTTCTCATTTTTGAAGCAGAATTGGCCCGTGGTGTTTTATCCCGCAGAGACGGGCCCTTGCTGTGGGGCCAGGGCCTGCTTTCCACGTGACCGCCTGGGATTGGGCACTTGAGATGCCTCCCGTCCCCTTTCCTCTCCCGAGGCTTGCTTATGGCCTTGACCCTGGGCACCAGCGATGAAGCAGAGCAGGTCTGGGTGTGGGAGTATGAGACGGAGGAAGGAGCACATGACCTGTACATGGACACGGGGGAGGAGATCCGCTTCCGGGTGGTGGATGAGAGCTTTGTGGACACGTCCCCCACGGGCCCCAGCTCGGCCGAGGCCACGTCATCCAGTGAGGAACCACCCAAGAAGGAGGCTCCCTATACACTTGTGGTGAGACGGAGCGCTGGGTATGGGGGTGTGGGGGTGCGGGGACGGGCCGCCCAGGGCCTCCTGTCACTTCTCGCCCGCGAGCCTGCCCATTTCTGCATACTGGGAGCACAAGGTAACAGCAGCCATGATGGTGGAGACGGCCCCCCGCCCCAAAGAGGCACAGCTCCGGTGCTGGATGGGGAGGCCACAGGGTGGGCCTGGGTGAGATCAAAGCTGAGACTAAGGAGGCCTCACAAAGAGCCTCCCCGTGGGCTCTCCCTGCATGTGTGCCTGGTGGCCGCACTCACGCAGCTAGCTGTGGTGGCAGGAGCGCAGAGCTGGGGGAAGGACGGTCTCAGTGCCCATCTGCCCCAGTGTGCTCGCAGGAGCCATGGTGCGGCCCCCAGTCGTGTCGTGGCTGCTGTGTGCGCCCCCGCTCCACTCCGCCAGTACTGCTGGGTGTGAGCCTTGTTGGCCTCAGGCCCGAGTGACCATTAAACTCCCTGCACCTTCTCTCTGCTTTCCAGGGCTCCATCAGTGAACCAGGCCTAGGTCTTCTCTCCTGGTGGACCAGCAACTAGCCTCAGCTGGCTGGCAGAATACCCTGGCCTTGGGAAAGTTGGAGTCATCATCTGCCACCCAGAACCAGACTGCTGGGGCCAGGAGTGCTACCATGTGCCCCCCACCATCCTGACCCGCTGTTCCTCCAGCTGGACTGACACTTGGCTTTTTGCAGCGCTGGGGATGGAACCCAGGGCCTTTTCCATACCAGGCAAGCGCTCTGCCACCAAATTAAACCCCCAGCCTCATCCAGTGGGCTCTGGCTTTTAATGACAGGAGACATTCAATTAAAGGAACAGTGGCATCATGGGCTGGAAGTCACCCCCTCCCCCCCCCAAACTGGGGAGAATGCGTTGAATAGAAACCTCTTTGTACAATGATTTAAAAGATTAAAAAGACCAGCAAGTGTCCTTGATCTAGGCTAAGTTGCCAAGCTGGGACAGCACAGCTACCTCATCTGTCCCAACTCACTTGTGGAGATAATCTACACGTCCTCAACTTGGGGGTTGCCAGACTGGGCTGGCCAAGTTAGGTGATTCCCTAACACAAGAGTGTGGCAGCCTGGGAGCGGCTTTGGGCCCAGGCACTGTAGCTCCTCACCTGGAAGGCGGCGCTTTCCAGAGGAAGTCAGCCTCCAGAGGAGGGCTTTGGTGGGGTAGAGTCAGAGACCAAGGTGGAAGGGGGGAGACCTGACTGGTCCTGGGGACGGGCCTCCACGGAGCCTGCCAGGCCTCCAGCTCAGTGATGGGATGTGGGGCAGCCTGTGCTGAAGGGGCCGAGATCATACGTGGCATAATCTTGGGAGCCATTACTTGCCAGTCTGTTAGGATGGGCTACGCCCATTCTCAGGGTGACTAGAGGGCTGTGACCCTGCCTGCCTGGCACGTTAATGCCAGGGGAGTGGCACTAAAGTCACAGGAACTTGGAGACACGACCTCTCTGCTGCGGGCTAGGGCAAGAAGGGCAGGAGGCGGTTGGCTGAGGTCTATTGCACAGATGGGTTGCAGATGGGCGTGGGGTCACACGCCTCCGCTGACCTCTGCCCAGAAGGCAGCCTGGGCCCCTGAGAGGACAAAACAAGACAACCACACACAGGAACAGTCAGTGAACTTCGATTCTTATTTTTCTTTTTTCAGACACTGGTCTGGGATTCCAAGCGTGCACCTCCACTCCCAGCACATCTTAACTTTTTACAAGAAGAGATGGTTCTCTAAATCCTTCATCAATGAAATGATAAGGCAGAATAAAAACTTCTTTAGAGGGGAGTGTTGTCATCAAAAATAAATATAGTTGCATGAGGCTGCTCAAGATCTGAACCAAACTAAATGGGGGAAGGCAGAGGCTAGGAGATTAAAGGGTCCCCCAGCATGGGTTCCTCCCCGCACCGTGGGTGGGCTGAGGTGGGGGAGAACAGAGTGTGGTCACACCATCCTGGAGCAGGAAGCCATGCTGGAAGGGCCAGGTCCGACTCTGCTGATGGATGAGGAGCCGCTGTGCAACAGCAGCGCGGGGGCCGGGGGCTGCGGGCAGTGTGGCCCAGCCTTACTGCTGTAGCTCCTTCATCCTGTTCAGAGCGCTGCCCGCACGGAACCACTCAATCTGGGTCTCGTTGAAGGTGTGATTCAGGAGGATGGTCTCCTGGGTCCCGTTGGGGTGCTTGATGACACATTTTAGGGGCTGCAAGGTAAGAGGAAGTGTGGGTGCAAACTGGCAGGTGCTCTAAGATGGAGACCACATCTTGCAGGAGGGGCAGGGCACTGTTCTGGGCCATGGAGGCCAAGTCTGGGCCTGGGTAACAGCTCACAGGGGACCCCTGAAGCCCAGTGGGTGGCACTGAGGAGAGGCTAGTGGGCTCTGGGTTAATGCTTGGGCGCTGGGGCCCAGAGCTGGCCTTCAGCTCTGGAAAGGCGTTTTCCTGTCGGCCTGGAGACTTAAGGGCTCCACAACTGGAATAGAAGGTCACAGGAAGCCAGGTGCTGGAGGCTCACCCCTGTAATCCTAACTACTCAGGTGGCTGAGATTTGAGGATCATGGTTCAAAGCCAGCTTGGGTAGAAATGTCTGACTCTTTATCTCCAATCAACCACCAGAAAAGCCAGAAGTGGTGCTGTGGCTCAAAGTGGTAGAGTGCTAGCCTTGAGCAAAAGAGCTCAGGGACAGCAGGCCCTGACTTCAATGCCCGTGACCAACAAAGTTCACAGGAGATGCGGGCAGGGCCAGCTGCAGCAGGCAGGGAAGCAAAGCGGCTTCTTTAGCCCTACCCACCCATGCAGGAAAGCCCCAGCCTCCCCCCCGCCCCTGACCTTGCCGGGGGCAAAGTCCTTCAGGCCCTGAATGGTCAGCTTGTCCACAGGGTGGATCTTGTTGTAGTCAGAAGGGTCAGTAAAGGTGAGGGGCAGGAGGCCTTGCTTCTTCAGGTTGGTTTCTGGAAGGAGGAGTAAACAAGTGGCACTGCCGCCAGGGCTCCCCGCGCTGGGAGCTGCCTCCTCTACAGCCACTTGGGGCTCCGCTGCTGTGACTGAACTGACAACAGCTGAGTCCCTTTTCGTCAGGCACCCGAGTAGGTGCGCAGTGGAGCAGATGCGTGGCAGGCCTTCCCACAGACACAATCCCAGCGAGGGGAATCCAGCACTCAGGTGTGCAATTTTGGAAGCACAATCAGCCCTAGTGGAAGCTGTAGGATCGGGCTGGGGCAGTACCTGCCTGAGCCAGGGAGTGACAGTGGGCCATGGTGAACACAGGAGCTGCAGACGCAGCCTGAGAGCTGAGCACGAGGCTCCAGGCCAGCAGCCCTGCAGGTGTATGACCTAGCTGTGCGGGCTGTGGATCCCGAGCGCAGGCTCTAGCTCACCGTGGATCCTGGCGAAGCTCTTGGTGATGATGGCCCGGCCACCCAGATGGCGAGGTTCCAGGGCTGCGTGTTCCCGGCTTGAGCCCTCACCGTAGTTCTCATCTCCAATCACCACCCACCGGATACCATGTTTCTGTCAAGCAAGCAGAGCTGGGGTCAGGAGGCAGGAGGGCACAGAGGTCCAGGGCTGGAGGAGCCGGCCCTCGTCTGCTGCCCAGGGGTAGCTGAGCTGGCACTATCTGCAGTGGGCGGAGGCCACAGTGCAGGCATAGTGGATAGACAACAGGGCGAGCGCTATAGGCTCGGGGAACTGCCCCTACTCTAGAGCCCCCATTCTGCTTGCCTAGCCACCAAAGGGTGCCAGGCCTCACCCTGGTGGACCAGCTCTCTGCAACCTAAGCTTCATCCCACCAAGGTGGCTCACCTTGTAGTAACGGGCAGTGTCGGGGACAGGGCCAAACTCCTGGGTGACGGCGTTGCGAACCGAGTTGGCCTTGCCATTTTCAATGTTGATGGCACCGATGAGCAGGTTGTTGGAGATGTTGTCCAGATGCCCACGGAACTTGAGCCAGGGCCCAGCAGCTGAGATGTGGTCAGTGGTACACTTCCCCTTGACCTGGGGCGGGCAGGCACAGAAAACAGGGGCTGGGGCGCGGCTGGGGCGGCGAAGGAAATAAGCAGCCAGAGCCACTGCCACCATGCCCGGGCCCGGGGGACTCAGGCAAGGCCATCACACAAGCTCATCAAAGGCCTTGGGCTGCTCAGTCTTCAGGTAGGACATGCTCGCATGGGGAGGTCGCCACACAAATGGGAAGCTTCTACAGGGAGGACAGGTGGAGTGTTTTGGTCGGTCGTGGGGCTTGAACTCGGGGCTGGGCGCTGTCCCTGACCTCTTTCACCCAAGGCTAGCACTCTACCACTGTGAGCCACAGCACCACTTCCAACTTTTTGTTTTTGTGGTACTGAAGAATTGAACTCGGGGCTTCATGTATGTGAGGCAAGCACTCTACCACTAAGCCACCTTTCCAGCCCCAGGACAGGGGCTTCTGCTTGCTAACCCTCCAGGCCTTGGCTAAGAGCTAGCCAGGGTGGAAGATCAGCTGAACTTCAGGCATGAGAGGAGCTGGGGGCCAATCAGGAGCTTTAGTAAGCACACAGGTTAAAGTCTGGCATGGCTACCTGTAAAAATGGTGCCTGCCTGGCTTCCCATCACAGGACCTACCCACTGACAGCCCAATCAGGGACAACAGGAAGCAGCGACTTTGTCAGCCAGGGGTGGACGCCTCCTGGGCAGTCACACGTGTCCCTGTGGGCAGCCTGGGTTGCACTCTCCTGTCCACACCTGATGGCTGCTGTCTGGGCTAGCTAGGTGCAGCTCTGCTCACTGGGGATGGAGGAGTGACATGCTGGCCCGTGGTGCCCTTTCCTCCACAGTCAACTTTCCCTCCCGCCCCGCTTCAAGCCCGCGCTGACCTTGATGAGGATCTGCAGGTCCTCCAGGTCTTTGCCATCCCACTTGTCAAAGGGCTCCAGGAGCTGCAAGCGCTGGCTGGTGGGGCTCACTTCCACCCGCTGCCCACTGCTGTCCTTGGGGGGGTGCTGGTAGGTGTCCTGGCCGGGGTCGAACTCCTGAAGCAAGGGACACAGACACGTTGCTCGCCACAGCCTCATCCCCATGCGGGTGGCTCTCGGGAGCAAGCTTCTCGGTGCCCCAGCGAAAAGAGAAAAGACAAAAGAGCTCTTTTGTTCTCAAAAGCAAAGCTGCCCCTTGCCGGCTCCTGAGCGGCCACAGCCCCGTCCGCTCACCGCTCTGGGAAGCTCATCCGCATCGGGAGCCTCAAGCTTGAACTTCTTGCCATCCTTGCCCGTCAGGAAGTCAGTTTCTGGGTTGAACTTGAGAGTTCCTGCAATGGCCAAGGCGGTGACGATCTGAAACGGAGGAGGCCAGTTTGTCGATGAGCACCGAACACCACGCCGATCCTGCTTTCCAGAACCTCAGCCGTGCGGAGGAGAGAATGGGGGGAATCTCCACTCTCCCTCGCCCCTTCTTGGAGGCGGGAGCTGCAGGACTGGGTACAAGCACTGGCCGCTGGGGATGCAGAGGCCGCGGGAACTGAAGGCACCTGGTCCCGCGGTCTGCTGCCAGAGCCTGAGCTAAGCGTGCTCCTGCAGGGCAGGAGGCACCGCCGGGGCAGGCCCTGGCAGACATGCTGCAGAGATGGCGGGTTGGCTGCATGGGCAGCGCCTAGAATGTGGAAGGGGTACCCCCTCTCTCCTAGTAAGCACAGGCATTTCTGGAACACGCATAGAAACACTCGAGACACAGGCCGGGTGCCAGTCAGAGTGGAGGCAAGCAACCCACCAACGCTGACTGCCCACAGGAACCTCAAGCCAAGTTCACTGAACCTAGAAACTAGAGCCAAGTGCCATAGTGAGCATGTGTAGTTCCAGCTACTCAGAAGACTGAGGGAGGAGAGTCACTTGAGCTCAGGAGTTGGAAGCTCGTGTGGGCAAGAGGAACAAGTAAGGAAGAGAAAGGAGAGCGGGGGAACGGGTGAGGAGCGGCTCGCCTGCGCGCACAGCCACTCCCTGTGCCACCTGCGCGCCTCGGCGTGGGCAGGCCCAGGTGGAAACCGCTTACAGAGCACAATGCCGGAGGCTTAGAAGGGCCTGGCTCTTGACCGGCACTTAGGTGGCCCCCTGGCGGGCGACAGAGCCCTGCTCAGCAGCCCCGGCTGGAGGAAGCCCAGTCTGGAGCGTGGCCGCGCGCCCCTCACCTCTGGGGATGTGACGAAGGCATGGGTCTCAGGGTTGGCGTCGTTGCGGCCGGTGAAGTTTCTGTTGTAGGAGGTGACAATTGTGTTCTTCTCCCCCTTCTTGATGTCTTTCCTGCAGGGCAGCAGGAACAGAATTTGGGATATCTGGTGCTATGATGTGGCCCACCGTGGCCAGATGGGCTGGGTCCCTACGGCACATGCCATAGCTCCTGGCCTCTACTGCCCCTCAGAACCACCACCAGCGTCCCCTGTGGTCTTGCTGGCTTCCCTGACCACTTGGGTTTCAGGCTCACCCACTCACTCAGCCCACCTGCCTGG